AGATCTGTTTTGTATTTGAATTTAAATAAAATGTTATTCCTGTGATGGCAAAGATGATATCTCTCAGAAATCATGCTAATATGCTGACTTGGTGCTGAAGAAGAATTTATTATTATTATCAATGTTGAAAACTGTTGTCTTTTCATGACTTCACTTTTGATGAATTTAATGCATCAATTCCTTGCTGGGAAATAATAAATAAATAAATACTGACCCCAAACTATTGAACAGTAGTGTACAGTAAGAATACATCATAGTGATTTCTTAACAGAAAAATTATTTACTAACAAATAAATATAAAAATACAGACATTTTATTTGGCACAGAACGCAATAATATTGTAAATATATTTATTATATACATTATAATGTGGTGTGGTGCATTTTTTGCTTATTCAGCCCAAAAAAAAAAAAAAATCTAAATCTAACCAGGTTGGTACAAAACATGTTTTGAAAGTACATGGTTATTGATTTTTTGATTGCAGTTTGTGATTTATTCCAAGGAACACAGAAACTGTGTGAAGCTACTAGAAACTAGTCATTTATTCAAAATATTTTAAAAAGTAATATTCATTATTCCTAATATTTGGGGGACATGAGCTCCTTATAATCCCTCAATGGGGGAAATGATTTATAAGAAATTATATATTTTTTCTTTGTTTGGTAACTTGGTAACTGAAAAAAAAAGTGTAAAACGATCATGCCACAGATTGCTCTGTTGGTTGAGAATGACCATAGTACTGTACTCTATAGGGATTATGTGTGCTGATGACATTTTGGGGGCGTTTTAACTTTAATAAACAAGAAAGTGAGAGAGAGAGGAACGGGACACCACACAGGACAAATCTGAACCTGTGCCCCTCTTGTGTGCTCATGTTTGCTTGCTTTTTGCTCTCATTCAAATTCCTCCCCCTCTCCCTCCATCACATGCTTTCATGCTGAATATAGTCTTTCTGGTTAGTGGTGTGTCTTGTGATGAACTCCAGAATGAAAGATAAGAGGAGCATGACCTCCTACAATCACTTACTTGTTGGGATGATCTTCCCCAGCTCTGGCAGTGTCTGTGTGGGATAGTCGGGCCCAGAGGAGGGGGCAGATTGGCTAATAACATGTCTTTGTCTGTGGTCATTCAGCATTTCACTGATATTTCTTGACCTCGTTTTTATCTGGGTGCTGTGCCTGTCTGACATTTCATGGTTCCGACCTCCTCTTTAACCTGCCCAAACCACCCCACCCCCGGCTGCCATGTGACTGGAGAGAAAGCAGATATCTTGTTCTTGGTATTTGGAGAATTTTGAAACTGAACTCAGCGGTTTTCCACTGGTCACCCTTACATTCTCAAAATGACAATGATGTGTTCAGAGACCCTTCAGGACATAATAGCCAGAACCTCAAACAACACAGGCATGTTCTCAGAGAAATGACCATGAATGTAAATTTTTCTCTAAAAGCCATTTCACACTCTTCCATCTTTTTAGGATCATACAGTGCCATGTGTGTATA